ACAATATGCAGGGTTCCGATGGAGTGGGCACTTCCTCGGGAAATTGGCATTGCGATTCCACATGGGTTGGTGACAGAGTCATCACAAAATCTACCGGTACCTGGGCCCTGCCAACCTACAACAACCACCTGTACAAGAAAATCAACAACTCTGGAGCGACTGGAAACAGCGACAACCAGTACTACAGATTCAGCATCCTGTGGGGATACTTGGACTTCAGTCGGTTCCATGGCCACTTTTCCCTTCAAGACTGGCAACATCTCATCAATAGCAACTGGGGACCAAAAAGGCTTGACTTGAAGCTTTTCAACATTCAAGTCAAAGAAGTCATAACACATGACAACACATCACTAATAATCTCACAAGCACAATCCAGGTGTTGGCGGACTCAGACTGTCAGCTACGGTATGCAGCGGGGAATGCACACGAAGGAACGCTGCCTCTGTTTCCAGCAGGTCTATTCATGGCTCTACAGCATGGATATCTAACTCTCAACAACAGAGACAATGCAGCCGGCAGGTCTGCATGTTGTCTGAACTCGCACCAGTAGCAGGTGCTCCGTTTTGTCCAAAAATCCTAACTCCAGTTTGAGGACATGTAGCTTCGTCTCCAATACGAGAAGCCATTGCAATGCCTGGGTGCATTCTGTGTGCTCTTAAGTTGACAAGTACTTTGTTTGCAGATGTCCATCCAACTGACGCGCTGCTGTTGGCAGCTGTTTCATGCACGACCTTCTGTCGCATGCAAGGACCAGGCGGCCAAGTGCGATATTGTGATGTTAGGTCGCCTTTGTTGCATTTTTAAAAACCAACTTGCTTACGCTGTTTTGAGCATTTGCAGCGAGTGTCCATGGATATTGATCTATTAGAGGATTCATCAATCTGTCAGTGCTCTGGTTGTGCGCATATGAGCAGTAGAATGGCACGTTTCTGAGTGAATAGCTGACATCACATTCAGCTATTCATTCGGAAACGTAAGCAAGTTGGTTTTTAAAAATGCAACAAAGGCGACCTAACATCACAATATTGCACTTGGCCGCTTGGTCCTTGCATGCGACAGAAGGTCGTGCATGAAACAGCTGCCAACAGCAGCGCGTCAGTTGGATGGACATCTGCAAACAAAGTACTTGTCAACTTAAGAGCACACAGAACGCACCCAGGCATTGCAATGGCTTCTCATAGTGGAGACGAAGCAACATGTCCTCAAACTGGAGTTAGGATTTTTGGACAAAATGGAACACCTGCTACTGGTGCGAGTTCAGACAACATAAAGATGACAATCAAGAGCGAAATACAAACAATTAATCCAGTTGCCTACAACGAAGGATACAGAATAGCAAACAACGTGCAGCAGACAAGCACAGGACCAACACTGGAAAACGTCAACCACCAGGGAGTCGTTCCGGGAATGGTGTGGTGAGATCATGAAGTACACTTCCTTCCAGGGACCGATTGGGTCTAAAAATCCTCACACAGATGGACATTTTCATCCCTCACCGCTGACGGATGGATTTGGATGGAAATATCCCCGCCTCAAATTCTAATGAAAAATACTCTGGTTCCTGCAAGTCCTCCAACAACGTTCACCACCAGCAAGACCAACCCGTGCATCTCTCAGTATTCCACAGGACAAGTGACGGTTGAAATCGAATGGGAGCTTCAAAAAGAGTCATCCACGAGATGGGGTCCAGAAGTGCAGTCCACAGCAAACTTTGGCACTGAGGCTACACTTTCATTTGGCCCAGGCAGCAATGGAGTGTGTCCAGAATCCAGGGCGATTGGCACTCATTACCTCACCTGCCCGCTCTAACCCAACAATGTTTCATATCATCAATAAACTGTGTAGTTGTAATTATTCTTTGGTGCATGAGTGCTTCTTATCAATAAATAGCATGTTAATCATAAACCAATAGACATCAGGCACACACAGAGACGTGTCAGTGTTCACCTCTC